ATACAAGAGTACATATATATATAAAATTATAATTAATTATCAATATTTTTGTAAAAATACAAGGGTCTTTCATGGAGTCCCGACACTATGTAATAAGAAAGTTGAAATTAATTTTTACGAAAATCTATTGTGATATATTTAAGAAATTAGTGATAAATTGCTTTAAATTTTTCATATGAAAAAATTTTATTTGAGAATAAATTTTATTCTCAAAACTCCAATTCATGAGCTACTCCTAACTATTCCAGATTGGAGTTTTAAGCATCAGCATTATAAAAAAAAATTCCATGAACCGAAAAAATATTTTTTGAAGTAAAATCCTTTCAAATGGATTGGATCCGTGTAATAGGCGACTACACTACATTTAAGAATATTAAAGCAGTGAGTTATTTAAATTTGAACCATTCTAAACCGCAAAATCATATAAGCCCTCTGGGTATTATTTTTTTACACTATACTGTATATATTAAAAAAAAAAAACTTGGAAAATAAGATAATGACAAGAATACATACATAAATAATAAGAGAAATGAAAAACATAAATTTAAATTTGAAATATGTACGCATCTAAAAGATAAAAAATTTTCTATTTTTGGAAAAAAAAAAAAACAAAAATACAATACTTAAATATGATGAACATATGTGGCATTATGGCAGAGCTAAATTGAAAGAAGAAGAACATTTTCAAATGAAAATTCTTTCCAATATTTAATTATTAAATATTCATTATTGTGAATTTAAGAGTGTGTGTGTTTAAATGAGTTAATTGAAGGAAACTTAATTATTTTTACTTGTGTGATTATTTTCAATTTCCACTCTATAATTTTTATATTACTTACAGGATAAAATATGTAAATAAATACGTACTCAGTTGTTCCTGTAAGTTAAAAAATTAATGTATAAATATAGGTATATGTACGTTTGTGATTTCAATGAAAATCTTCAATTCATATTAATTAATTAAAAATACATTAACAGGAAATAAGAACATGTGTTGCTTGCTTATTATTTCATTTCTTTTACTTATTTTTTAATTTTACTGATTATTTTTCTTTTATAAAAATTACTTACTTTCATAAGTAATATTATATCAGGTTGAGATACCTTGGGACATATTCCTTTTCAAGGACTATGAGTCTGGCAAATGCAAATAAGTACCAAAGATTTTAACCAGTTTTGAAGAAGCGTGGAATGATTCTAGTGAGGGTCAAGGATTTTCTTAATTTAGAACGAACATATTCGGCTTATGTGTACCTTACGGTAGTAACGTCAATCTAATCTAACCTAATCTAACATCATTTTTACGATTGAAATTTTAATTTGACATCAAAAATATGTAAGCACCTAAGTGCCTATTGCTATGTGTATTACGTAATTAAACGAATGCTGTTGAATATATTAAAAATATATGCAATATATGCATCATACTTAAATCTTAAATTACTTTTACGTAAACGGACAAAATTCGTTTTTGGAACAATTTAATATTAAAAATTTAATTACATTTAATTACACAAGTAATAAAAGTAATTACAAATTTACATGAAGTTAATTTGAATTCGGATATACAATAAAATTATAGTTCTATACAACTGTCGTCTTTTTAATATTAATATATAACAATTTAATTATGAAATTTTTGATTGTTACGAAAATTGCCTTTTTCCTTCTTATTTAAAATAATTTTAAACTTCTTAGCTTATTTAACATACAATCGTTATATTAGAAAAGAATTATTACGTGGGAAAACAATATGTATTGAAATTATACAAGTTGATAAAATGCAATACCTAAGGTTATTAATTAATTTCATTTTAAATTTATTTCAAAATACTAAAAATTATCGTAAAACTTTTAAAATCCTAACGTAATATTTAATTATTGTGTAATTAATTAATTATACCTTATTAAGAATATTGCTTATTACTAGTAGCTGCTTACTTAATTATTAAAAACAAACAATACTATATTTATTACAAATTAATAATTAAACGTGCATTTATTATAATAATTTTTAAATTAATTGTAAATTTAATTGTTTTAAAATAAATATATTGAAATTGTGTAACTAAATTCATGTTTGTATATTCAATTTCAATATTTTAGTTTTTTTTTAAATTAATGTTATAATTTTATTCTCTGTTTAAAATAAAAATTTCATCTTCATCTTATCAGTCTTCGGACTGATACTTTTTATATTGAATATAAAATTGTAGAATAATCTTATTTATTGAGTTATTTTTCAATATTAAAATTAAAGCTTTAAATTCAATATTTAATATACTTAATTATTATAGGTGAATTTCTAAATTAGAAAAATAAAAGTAAGTCACAAATTAACAACACATGGAATGTAAGTAAACTCTCATAAGAACATTATTTTCAAAACAACTCAAGAAATATCCTAATACGAGTATAAATTTATAACTTTTCTAAATGCTGTTAATGAAAATCTGAAAATTTTACCTGAAAAATTCATGAAATTTATATGAAATTCAGTTTAAATCACTGTGAACCCTAAATATTTATTTTTGTAGTATGTCAGTAATAGAACAGTTAATTTGTCACTTAAATTCAATGATGCATTTAATTAAAATTTTTATTTAATTAAATATAAGATTTAATTTTTTAATATTTTATAAGATTTTATAATTAAAACTATGACTGAAACTCTATAGGAGTATAAGTTTGTTTTTTATTAAATACTCAAAATATATCACAATATAAAAGTAGAGCGAATTTTTTTATGATAAAAATATAAAAGAAAAAAAATATTTATAAATCTTACAAAATTTCTATTTAAAGTTACTATTAATCATTTTGTTTTAATATGGTTGTGTTATACATATTTAATATTTGATACCCAACGTTGTACATATACATACATACATACAAAATTTGAATTGCTTTAATATGAAACATAACCTAAAAAATTGTAAGTTATTAAAATTAACTTTGTATATAAATTTTAGCACGTATTTATGTACACATTCATCGCATCATAAACAAACATACACGGTTACATTAAGTTCAATTAAAATTAACTTTTATCACACATTCATTTTGCGTGCTCCAAGTAATTTTTAATTCATAGCTTTAAGTAACTTCGTATAAGTACCAAGCCTTAATATGTGAAATTAGAAGTGCGTAAATAAGCATATACTACATATAAGATAAATGTATGCATATCATTCGTATAATGTAGTCATTTCTAAAAATTCTACTAAAGTAGTATAAGAAAATTTTATATGCCACTATCCACAGGTGGGGTATGAGTATATCTGTAAAGTTGTCACATTTTTTTCATTTTTACAATTTTTTTAATTAAATATTGTAAATATTAATTAAATAAATGAATTTACGAAATGAAAATTTATAAACTACATATTTTAGTATTAAAATTTAAAGGCGCAAATTTTATAGATGAGAAAACTTGTGTGAGCATATCACAACGGTTTTTTTTTTTTTCAAATTATAATTTACTAGAAAAAATTTTAAGCACCATGTGGCATGAAATACTTAATGTATTAATTTTATATTTTCTTCTACTATTTATGTATGGCAAACGTACTTTTTTATATGTATGTAAAATTTAACGCATGCTTTTAACATATTTACTAATGTGTATATAATATTATAAAAATTATTAATGTACAAATTTACATAGTAAACAACGTAAACGTCGATTATATCACAAAAATGAAAATGTATAATTGTTACACATAGTACAGTTATTGTACATAAATAAAATTTATACATAAGCATATCTTTGGGTGTAATATTTCATATTATACTAGCAATTAAAAGCAAAATCCGTATCAACACATGTATACACAGAAAAATTACTTATAATATACAAATTTGCCGGTATGGAACACAAAACTATAAATATTGAGGAATATGTATAACATTCAAACGTATGTAACTTATTAGCTTGTTAAATGATTGACTAGCTCGTAAACTTAAGAAAATATGGAAGTATGAATTAAATTTTTACTGGAGTACAAAATTTTTCAGGGTGCAAAATGAAAATTGAAATACTTGAGTACTAAAATTTAAATTTATTCTACGATTAGACTTTCAGCTATCGCCAAATTTGCATTTAGTCTCAAATTCAGTAATATTTTACGATTTCCACATTTAGCCCATGAAATTTTGAGTAAAATAAATTCATGTTAAAAAATTGTATTAAGTAATATTTTGGTTCTTGACATAAACTGTAATAATCAAGTGATAATCTAATGTTCTTAATTGAATATTAAACAATACACAATATTTAAATTTGACCAGTTTCCAATTACAAATTCAAAAATACTTAATATTGATTTGTGAATAAATTCGAAAATTTTTCAATAAAGTTTTTTATGAAACCAGAGTTCGATATATTAGTTGCTTGCCTTCAAACAAGTTATTCAAACAAGTAATTAAGCAGTTGAAATTTTCCTAAGTATATTATTTATTTGAAATTTAAGTGATATTTTCGATATTCAGATAAAAATATGTAAAAATCTTTATGCAACTCAATGATTTAATCTTGTGAATTGAAGAAAATTTGAAATTTTGGCACCCAACTATTTTTCTACTGCAAGCGATTTTATTTAATTTTATTATATACTGTATTTTGATATGATCGTAATTGACACATACTTGACATTAACAGAAGAGTGCTATTTTTTTATTTTTTGACTACTTTTTCTCAATACTTGGAGCACACAATATTAAATTTTCTTAAGAAGCAATTCCTGAGGGTTATTAAATTTCATATACACAAAATCTTTTCAGTTAATAATAAATAAATATCTAGTGCAATATTTCAAAAATAAAAACAAAAAAAAATCACATGTTATATACCTATATACTGTAACTTGTAAGTTTATAGATTTTAAATATAAATTATGTTTGAATATTAACTTGTTTAATTGTATTGTGAACAAAATTATATATGTAAATAATACCAAATAGGTATATACATATATTTGAATTTTATATTTTTTTCTTACCTGAATTTGCGTCAGCTGTATTCTCTTCTGTTATTCTTTCTACCATTTTGTTATTACTTTGTTTGTTTTTCTTTCTATTTTGTTCGTATTGATGTTTTTTTTTTTATGTTGTATGTATTATTGATTTTGATAACGATGCTGATGATAATGAATAACAAAATTTATAACAGATTTAAAAAAATTTAAAAAGTACGAACAAAAAAGAGAATTTCTTTCGAGAACTATATAGCTGTATATGTATAGATGTGTGCGTAAATGAGAAAACAATAAAACAAAGTTAAAAATCCTAAATGTTCATAAAATATGGCTTTGTTTTTGTAGACTATACTTTGTTGCAGGCTTTTGTTTTTCTTTTCTTTCTTTCTTATTTTCTTTTTATTTTGTTGCTGAACGGCTTAGTTTTCCTTTCTTTCTTTCTTATTCAAATTATTAAATATTATTGTTCTTGTTTTTATTGTGTTTTATTCTTATTTCAGATATTAATGTTGCTGTTATTCATTTTATGTTGAATTTTGATGTGTTGTGCAATAGTTGTATGTAATTAAAAAAAAAAACAATAAAAACACATAAAAAATTAGTAAAATTAAAAAACAAAGGATTTTATCAGATTTTATATTTTAAAATTAAATATTAGTCAAGTTGTTCCAAAATTTATTTAATCTCAAAAAATCCCCAAAATTTATTTAATGAAAATTTCATACACAATTATTATACAAAATACTTATTATTTATGTAAATATATGAATGTTACAATAATTTCTAATTTAATATTTGTATATAACTATATATATGTATATATATATATACACGAATGTAAGCATATTAATTGAATGCAAATGTAAAATTTTTGTCAACAGAGAATTTTAAAAATTGAATACAAAATATAAAGGTATATACATTAATATACATATAAGCAGATCTGTATGTATAATGTGTAAAAACGAAAACAAAAATAGAAGAAAGAAAAAACCGAAAAAGTTGCCCAAATAGTTGGTTTTTATTTTTGTATTAGTAAATAAATATGGCATGATTTTTCATATGACTTTGTTTTTGTTTTCAAACCACACATAACAAACACATATAGGTACTTGCTTTATATATACCTTTGTAATATTTATTTTATATATTTATATACATTTGTAAATATATACATTTGTAAATGGTATATATTTTTTTAAATTAATAAATTCTCATACGTTTGTATGCATTATGTATGTACATATATATATTTAGTAGTTTTACAATTTTTTTTATTGTAAATTTAATTTTTTATATGAAAATTTTTGCGTTTCAAGAATTTATATTAATTAAAATTGAAAATTTTAACAAACACTTTCCGAAAATGAAAGTTCTTTCAGATGAACTATGAAGGGATGTATGTACATATGCATGTATATAAGCACCTATTTGTATGTTTCTATGTTAAATATTCAAATTACTCTCAAATTTATAGTTTCACAAAATTTAATGACACATTGAGTTAAGTATTCAATTTAAATTGTCATAAAAATTTCCAAAAAAAATTTAGAAATTTTCACAATTATTATTAAATTGTTCCCTTATTATTTAGTGTTTTAGGAAATTTTATTTTTCACCTTTACCCTTAACCTAAATTAACTACATAATGTAATGTATGCATATTTATGTATAAATATGTAGGTACCTTGCTATTTAGTTGCCTTACTTGTTACTTTCCTTTCTATCCCTTATATATTTTTAATACAGTTGTTTCATAAAAATTTGTTCTTGTTGAATAAAATTGGCTTTGTTGTAACTTTTTTAATTTTTTTTATAACAACTAGATTTTTCTTTTTTTCTTACAATGAGATTTTTTTTTGTGTTATATTTAAAATGAAAATTTCAATTATAAAATTCTTTTAGTATAAAAAAATACTTTTTTTTCTATTTATTTTTATAATTTCATTGAACATTGAAAATTTCTTATAAAAAAGTTTGAAATTATTATTATTGATAACGTGTAAAAGATTTTCTTATATAAAAAATTTCAGAAAAAATAAATATTCTTTAATAGACAGCAAATATTTTTCCAATAATTCTACACATTATTTTAACAAAAGTTTGAGAAAAAAAAAGTAGATTGATCACTTAATTTTTTCTTTTTAAAAATAAAAAACTTTTTTAAGAATTAATTATTAAATTGGAAACAAAAAAAAAATAAAACAGAAAATTATAAAATTAATTTTTTTCTCCTCGAGTTGAAATTTTTTTTATTAAAAAAAAAAAAAATTTTTTTTTCTTGATTAACTTAGCTACCGCTCCATTATTTGCCGTACGAACCACTCGATGTTGAAATTCCGACTGAAATTTCAAAATTTCAATTTTTATTGATTTCTAAAAAAAAAATCTTCTGAAATTCTTATTCTTTAATTTTCTTTCCTCTTTCCATTTTTCAAGTACATAAGCACAAACACATAAACATTTCACCTAAAGATGTGATTTTCATGGATGTATATAACATGGTATATATCATATACATACATATTTCATTAGTTTTTTTTATGTTTATTGCTTTAATAATATTATACATTATTTACAATAAACTTTTATATTAATTTTAGTATAATATTTTTTTTATTTTACACACAATAAACGGTATAAATGTATATAGGATTGTCAATATGAATCTTATATAGTATATACTTCAATCTATCTAAATACATATGTTTGCATGAGTAGTTCAGAAAATACAGAGAATGAGAAATAAAAAATAAGCATAGAAAATAAACAAAACAAAGTTAAGTAAACTGCCATTTTATATACGGCGAAAAATAATATAAATACAGTAATACCTTGATATACGTGAATATGTTTACGTCATTTACAAAAATTACGATACATACATACTTTTACCATGATTACTTTAATTTTGAAAGGAATGTAATAAAATTTTAGAAAAAAAAATAACTGTATAAAGGTTTGGGCACGTATATATAGTCAACGTGCACCGAAGGGTTACTACATTAAATAATTTTTTTTTATAAATTAATATACATATGTACGTTCCATATTTATATAAACGTTTATCTTCATATACATTGGCTACATAAAAAAGAAATATAAAATTTTAGAAACTTTGAAAAATATTAACTTGTATACGAGCTGAATGAAAAAATATTTGAATGAAAAAAAATTATAAAAATATTTTAGGTAAAGCAGATTAATAATTATGCTGAAAATTCTCAGACAGAACCTTCGTAAATTAAAACTTTGTGCAATACTGCAACAAAAACGGGTTGTGTTTACAGCATACATAATTATATTTAATAATATGTTCAATAATTTAGAGTAGACACAAAATTTAAAAGAAATTTTCAACTCCTAAAATTTATGATTGAATTTAGTAATATAATACCTGAAATCAGCTTATGTACCTAACTACATACTTACATAAAAGTGACCAACTATGAATAGTTATCAAAAGCAACATAGTTTTGTGAATAGTTATCAAAAGCAACATAGTAAAGTGTATTATATTTGTATGTGTGTATATGAATAAAACTGAAATAAAATGAATTGCTGAAGTTCAGTTTATTCAGCTATAAATTGATAAATTTAATTTTCAATGAAACCGGTACGAACGTAAGTAAACCTAAATTTAGTTCAATATAAATGTGTATATTATGTACAATATTATTTACCTACTTATATTAAAACAATTTTAAGCAATGTTACAATAAACAAGTGTGTGTGTGCCTTAACACACATTCACTCGAATCGACTAAATTTTGTTTATTCAAAAATATAAATTATTATAGAATTACACATAGATGTGTTTTGTAATATGCATATGTGTGAAGGAATATGATATGTAAATAATCGTGGTGTTTGTGTGTTACGGCGAATTCAAAATTGAATCTTCAAAACAAAACAAATTAAAAACAAACCCAGTAAACCAAAAGCACAACAAATGATATTTTGCGTTTCAAGAAAAATATTTAAAAATAGGGAAAACAGTGATTCTCAAATTTTTAGCGTTATTAAAATTTAGTGGTAATTATAAGATTACAGTCATTAGTATTTGCGAAACGTACATATTCCGTATAAAATTAAAAATGAAACTGAAATAAAAATTAATTAGTATTTTTTTTTCAGCTTCGAATATTAAAAATTGATTTTAATTACAAAATTGAAATATTCATTATGATAATTTGGTATTGTTGTCCGCAAGCGTATTACCACCGGTAATTGTTGCTGTGACGTACGTTGTAGTAACGTGCCTATTGTTGTTGTATTGTTTGAATACTCAAACTGTAGTTTAAATTAACTGTTTGTACCAGAATCTCCAAAATTCACTTTAGTTTGTAATTGCTTCGTTGGCTAGTTTATAATGAACATACATTAGATATATATTCATATATATATATATATATATATATGTACATATATATGCACATTATACATATTTGCAAACAAAATTAATTTTAAGTGTGCTCTTAAATTGAAGAACAAAATTAATTTTAAGCATTTTTTTTTTCATTTCGCAAACAATTTTTGTATTTAAATCGTAGATATAGAAGCAAAAATGAATGTATGTATATACGAATGTACATACATAATATATAAATATAGTACATATTATGTAAGTATATACATATGTATGTATTTTTGAAATTGTAATATAAAATTAATATGCATAATGTGTTCTTGCATTATTATAAAAATGTATGTATGTACGTACATTTGTATAAATATAAGTATGTATGTACATATCGTAAACAAGGATTTATATACGATTATGCACATACATACATACATATTTATATTTCTTTAGATTCTTATATCTAAGTATTTTATGTATAGTTGACTAAAGTATTTGAAATTTTTTGTTAACTGCGTAAAAAATCGTATAGAATCAAGAAAAAAAAATATCTGCAGAGTTTTTTTATTCTTTTTATCTTCTTTTTTTGTTCAATACAAAATACTAACATAGGAGATGAAAACAATTTTTAGTTTGATTAAAATATTCAACTAATCAAATGCAACACAAAAAAAAAATTTCATTTGATAAAAATTGATGAATAATTAACGCCCCTACATATGTATCTAAAAGGAGAAATGGTCTAAAATAATTATAATATCATGTCAGTTATTTTATTATGTATAAATATATCTATAAATGTATGTATGAATGTATTTTATTGGAAAGATCCCTATTTGAACACGTAAGACGCATTAGAGATGAAATAAGTGTCGTTAATTACTGAGTAGTGTCTTCAAAAATTTCATTGTGTGCAAGTATAGATAATGTACCTTAATTTTACTGTACCTTCGAAACAATAGAAGTTTCCGTAAGAACAATACATACAAGGGTTGTTCTTAATGTTCATAACGAAATGTTGCGAATTAATTTTCTTGTGAAAGATTTTTACCTTATCAACAGTATAGGGAAACCTATTGTTATGAGTAGAGCTGCACCCTTTGTTTTTATAAAGTTATCAAAAATATATTGCATATGTGTGTATTACGATATTGTTTTGCTGCATTGCGTTTATGAAAACCTCTAATAAAGAAGTTATTAAATAGTAAATACTCATCTTATATCCACTTACTAAAATTTTTGGTTTAATAATTCAAATCATCTCACCCCCCTTTCAACTACATTTTTGCAGTGTAAGTAATATATGCTCATATTTACATTATATGTACATATGTATGTAGTCTCTTTGTTATTAATTTTTTTTTAGTTTTAATAATATTAACACAAAACGCATAAAATTTGCGTTATCTAAGGTGCTGAACAACCACAACAATAATTTATAAAGAACATAATTTAAAAGAAAAAAATTGCTGCGTAGTTATGCCGGCCGGTTTGATTCCACCCCAGGTTTAGTTTTTTTTTTCCTGCTTTATTTTGCATTTGTATGTACGTTTATACTGATATTTTTTTATGTTGTTTTTCACCAGTTTTATGCTAACGAACTAGTTAGGCGGTTTATATTTTCTTACGATGTTTAAAGATAATGAAGTAGAGATACATAACATACATATAAACATGCATAATAATTTTAATTTTTTTAGTACATACATTATGTTCCTATACTCGTTTATAAGTATAATGAATTTATGTGGAGAAAGGAATTAAAGTTGAATGTATATCGTAGTATGTATTTTCGGATATTTAAAAATAATAATTTAAGAAGTATAAGTACACATGTACTTTTATATACTAATGTAAAATGTGTATGGAAATATGTGTATACGTTTGTACATAAAAATAAAAAAATCAAATGAAAAATTAATTAAAAATTAAGTGTTTTTTTTTTTCCTTGCAGAATTCGGTATGCTGCTTAGTATGCATTTATCAATGTGTTGGGGCTTTTAAATTTAAGATGCATAAATCTACTAGTCATATAGTAGCGTAATGAGTTGCAAAATTATATATTATATATGTATGTATGTATGTTTCTTTTTAATTTTTGTCTTAATTGAATAGCATATTGTGAGATAAAAAGGCATGCTCTTAAACTTAATAGTTGCTCTTATTCATTCTCAATATAAAAAAAGTGTTGTTGTTTCAAAACATGCTTCTGATTATTGAAAGTAAAACATTTAACACTTTATATGCATACGAACAACTTCTTTATTTTAGTTAAGATATAATTTTTGTGTTTATACAATTGGCTTTAATTAGCAATTCAAAATTTGACAAATACAATTTAACATATTTTGCTCCAAATTATAATAGAAATATAAATAATATTATATGCAATATAACATTTATATACAAACAATGTATGTAGCAAACGAATGCTTTAAAATGTTGCAGTCACGTTGAAGACCATGTATACGTATAAAATTTAAGAAAAAAAAACCTGAATCAAGTGAATTAATTAATATTCAATAAAATATAAAATAATTCACAATACTTATGTTAATATAGAAACTTCAATTGTATGAAATTAAGACAAATAAAGTTTTAGCGTTTGAAGATGATCTAAGCATGAGCTGAGACATTAAATTTTGAGTATACTTAAAGTATATTAAACTGAAGTGTATTAATTTTAAATGTTAGAATATCAAAAATAATTATAATTAGATATTACAAACATGTTGCGTGTTTGCATAGTGACAATTGCAATAATAAAGGACTTTTCTTAAATTTATAATAATTAATTTTAATTGAATTGCTAATAATTGTAAAAAATTTTTTAATATTCTAGTCGCAACTTTATTTGTTTTTACTTCATTTATGCGGAAGAACTATTAAAACACTTGATTTTAAAATTTAAAGTAAAACTGCAAATTTGAATACGATTTAAATGTTTTGCCACTAAGTATTAAGATTTTCGA